AAAAGGGGGGGGGGGGGGGGGTGAGAGAGAGAGGGGGGTAGAGTGAGGGGGGAGGGAGAGAGAGAAAGGGGCGTTTAATTAATTCAGGTACCGCGTGCGCACTGCCGTGTCTTTTTACGTAGCATCGAAGCACTGGACTATCGTTTCGTTGACGGCACATTGTGCAATTTTGCCATTGGTTACGGAATGATGAGCGCTGCCTTTAATTATTTGGTCTGTCCATTGTCGTTTATCGATTGGGTTAAGCTACGCGCGCTTTGTTTATTACTAGCAGATTAAATGGTTTAGGTATCGTTTCACTTCTGCTTCTCCTAATTTGCAATGAATAAGTTACGCAAAGTTGCTTCTCAGCTTCCTTATAAAATGAAATACAAACTTTGGTGGTGCGGATGGGGAGAGTGGTGGTGAGGAGGTTGGGAGGAGGATGGGGGAGGGGTGAGGGGGGGAGTCGATTAAAATAAATTCGCTCGGGCTATATAACTTTAGCTTCTAAAATAAACGTTAACATCAAATAAATATGAAAAGTAATTCAAGCGTTTAATGACAGGACGGTCCTATTGTAATACGTTTGATAAAAATATTGATTACTTGGGGAACTATATAATTTTTTTTGCTTTATCACGAATCGTATTTGATATTAGTCATAAATATTTCACAGTTTATTGCATATTTATATATAGATATGCATATGTGTGTGTGTGTGTGTGTATATATATACATGTGACTTTATTGAATATTTTATTTATATTTATTTATATTTAACAAAAAAAGAAAAAAAAGAAAAAAAAAACAAGAATACAGTTTCAATAACTTGTCATTATATTTGAATAATTCGCTTCTTTTGTTTTATTCTTTTACGTTAATTATTTTGTAACAAAATGAATTAAACTGTCTACCATTGCTACAGACATATACGTGCGCGTTATATAAAATAATTTAAAAAAAGCTTTACGCCCAGAAATTATTATAAAAACAATTATTTTAAGTACGGTAAAAGATGAATTACTTATCTGCTTTTTCGACCTTGTGCCAACACTCGTCTCGTTACTATTTAATGTACGCTCACTTATTTGTGCTTTAGGCTCCGAATGGGGTAAGACTTTTTAATTAGTTGACTCGTATGTTGGAAATTCTTGAAAATATTTTCATACGGCAACAGCGTTAGGTGACTCGTGAATTAAGCTTTGAGTCGTTTTTAATTTTCATAAATTAAATTAAATCACAATTTAAAATAACATTCGATAAAATCAAAATAAGCTGTGCAATATTCATGCTTGAAAAGAAAAATCTGATTTCCTTTTATTATTTAACACGACCCTAGCAAAAAGAGCGATTTTCGTCTCTATAAATATTATTAAAGCTGCGAATGATAATATTGCCATTCGGAATTTAAATATTTGCAAATATTCGACATATAATTTTCCATTTTATTGTGGTATTTATCTTGTAAATTACGAATTAATTCAATTTCAATTATCACATACGATATTTGATATGGACCTAAAAATGTTTAAGTTCATTATTCGATATTCAATGTGCTGAATATTAGTATAATTAGGTAATAGTAAGGGTAGAGCTTTGTAAATCAATGTATTATTACATCGCTCGGGTATATAGTGAAGGAAATTATTTCATTCGATATTCAATCCGAGTATTAAGCAACAGCGTATCGTAGAAATTCGAATAACCACCACTCGTTTATATCATACATTTCTTTAAAAGAATAATTAAATATTGTAATTATCATCATTAGCTGTCTTCATATTTGTTAAATATGCCACGCATCGCATGTAGGAATAAAGCAAGAGAAATTATTCAAATAATACGACTACGCAGTAAAAGCATATCTTATTAACGATATGGAGTTGAAGTTCAACCAAGGATAAATATTATATATGTTATATATATATATATATATATATATATATATATATATATATATATATAGTGGAAATTATATGAAAGTCACATAAATGGTGCAATTAATAATGCACAATCCAAGCGCAACGCGATTTTCAAAGTCTTAGAAAATTTCATTCAGGCAGGAGTTAACGACGTCGCACCCCCGACTACCCGTTGGGATAAAAAAAAAAAAGTCCGACCCTCGCAGCATAAATTATCCGTAAATATTGAATAAACGCCTATGATTATGCCAACACTCGCTCTTATCGATTCGCTTTCTTCGAATAAATCGCGGACTCTTTCATTCCATGGCGCGTGGAAATAAGACACGAGGGGAGCCACGGCCTCCCTTATTACAATAAACCGCTCGCGACAGGTCAGCCGAAGCACCCACCTGGTACCTTAGTACCGGAATAATGGACGAAGGAGAGTCGCGATGGTGGGTGGTGGTGGGGGAGAGGCTAAAACGGGAACAGCAGTTTCGATGACGATCTACCGATTCTCAGCAAAGGAACTTTCCCCGAGGGGCTCGAGATCGCTTCCTCGACCACTCAACCCAACTCAACCCTTAATTAGCCGTCGAATCGGCCGACACTTTTCCAGCTACGAATATATTATTGACTTGCGTCGGTACTCCCCTACATCCGTTCTTTTCGTTTAATTACCCGGCGATTGGAGCGCGCACTGCACCACGTGAAATTTCAACGTCGGCTGATGCCGTTCCTCCTACCCAACCCGCGAGAGGTTCCTAATGAAAAATTACGCGCATCGCAGATCAGCGTAATGGAAATCGCCAAGCCATTAAATCCTTGGCTACGTATCGCGTGGATCTTTCATTAAAAAAGAGAGAGAGAGAGAGAGAGAGAGAGAAAGAGAGATAAAAAGAAAAAAGATAAGAAAAAAGCAAGAAATAAAAGGAAAACAAACGCCATTGAGGCCGTGCATTTCCTGTATGCACACTCGCTCGGCGGCGCTTTCCCTCCCGTTAATCGCCCGCCGAATTGACGACGTG